GAGTGAAACTCCGTCTCAAAAAAAAAAAAAAAAAGTAGACATGAGGTCTATATATTGCCCAGGCTGGTCTCAAACACCTGGACTTAAAGTAATCCTCCTGCTTTGGCTTCCCAGTGTTGAGATTACAAGTGTGAGCTGCTGCACCCCACCACAAGATGTCTTGAAGGGAAGATAAATTGAGTTACACAGGGTTCACTGGTGCCAGGGCACAAGTTTAAGCTTTTAGTGTATTTGATGGAGCTCTGAGAAGAAACCCAAGGGAAAGTGATACATCTCGGTAAGCTCTACTTCCTCATAAACAGAAATAAACCTCAGCCTTCCTAAATGCTGGGATTATAGATATGAGCCACTGTTCTCGGCCTGTGTTGGGTTTCTTTTGTTTTTGTTTGTTTTAGATGGAGTCTTGCCCTGTCACCCAGGCTGGAGTGCCATGGCACGATCTCTGTTCACTGCATCCTACACCTCTGGAATTAAGCAATTTTCCTGTCTCAGGCTCCTAAGTTAGCTGGCATTACAGTTGTTGGCCACCACACCTGGCTTGTTTTTGTATTTTTAGTACAGGGTTTCACCATGTTGGCCAGACTGGTCTGAAACTCTTGACCTGGAGTTGTCATCCCACTTTGGCCTCCCACAGTGCTGGGATTACAGGCATGAGCCACCATGCCCAACCTGTTTTTGTTTTTTGTTTTGAGAAAGGGTCTTCCTCTGTCTCCCAGGTTGGAGTGCAGTGGCATGATTACAGTTCTTGCAGCCTTGAACTCCTGGGCTCAAGCGGTCCTCTTGCTTCAGCCTCCTGAGTAATTAGGACTTAGAGACCTCCTCCACACCTCCTGCCTCCATCTCCCAAAAGTGTTCAGATTATAGGCATGCACCACTATACCCTGCCACATTTTGTTTTGATGCAGTGTCTGATCTGGAAGATCTGAATCATGAGAAAAGGGGTCTTCCATATTTGGATTGGTGAGTTATCCTCTTCCCACTTCCTGCAAAACTCATCAGCAACAAAGCAAAATGATTGTTTTTTCCCCTTGAGATAGGGTCTTGTTCTGCCCAGGCTGTAGTGCAGTGGCACCATCATGGCTCACTGCTACCTCAACCTTTTGGACTCAAGCAGTCCTCCCACCTCATCATCTTGGAGAAGCTGGGACTACAGGTGCATGACACACACCCAGCTTTTTTTTTTTTTTTTTTTTTTTTTTTTTTTTTTTTTTTTTTTTTTTTTTTTTTTTTTTGTAGAGACAGGGTTTTGCCCTGTTCCCCAGGCTGGTCTTGCACTTCTGGACTCAAGCAATTCACCTGCTTTGGCCTCCTAAAGTGTCGGGATTACAGGTGTGAGCCACCACACTTGGCTAATTTTGTATTTTTAGTAGACTGGTTTCTCCATGTTGGTCAGGCTGGTCTTGAACTCCTGACCTCAGGTGATCCGCCCATCTCGGCCTCCCAAAGTGCTGGGATTACAGGTGTGGGCCACCACGCCCAGCCAAAAGTGGCTTTTCAAAGGAAGTGAGCTCACTGTATCAAGTGCATTGTGGGCCCTGCAGTTGGAGTCAGGTTTATAATGGGCTTCTCTTCTATAATTAGGCAGATCATTTTAACTTTACTAAGCCTGTTTCCTTGTATATAAAGTGGATGTGTAGTATTTCTATCCATAGAGTGGCATTTGCTTGGCATGTAGTGCTAGCATTAAGACCTCTTCCACTAGATAACAAACCAAATATTAAAGAAAAGGTGCTTTCTCAATTTCTGGTTAAGTTGCATAGCTCATCTCCTTTTTTGCATGCCTTGCAAAGTAGCATTTTACTGATACATAAGTAGTAAAGCTTTTGTGTCAATCTGTTAACATTTTATTGAGAGCCAGAATGGTTTTTTTTTTTGTTTTTTGTTTTTTGTTTTTGAGAGGGAGTCTCACTCTCGCCCAGGTTGGAGTGCAGTGGCATGAACTTGGCTTACTGCAACGTCAGCCTCCTGGGTTCAAGCCATTCTCCTGCCTCAGCCTCCCAAGTAGCTGAGATTACAGGTGCCTGCCACCATGCATGGCTAATTTTTGTATTTACTAGAGATGGGTTTCACCATGTTGGTCAGGCTGATCTCGAACTCCTGATCTCAAATGATCCATCCACCTTGGCCTTCCAAAGTGCTGGGATTACAGGCATGAGCCACTGCACTCCAGCCTGGGTGACAGAGCGAGACTCTTTCTCAAAAGAAAAAAAAAAGAAAATGTACTTCTCAGTTGGATTCACCACTCACATTTGCTTTCTATATATTTATGTTATTTGCTGAAACACTAGAAATTCAGTTGCAGATATACCGTTTCTAAATCTGTCATTTGTATCTCCTAAGGAGAAGGGCATTTTCTTCTACAATCAGTATAGTAAATTCAGGACATTTAAGATTAATATTATTTAAAAATTTTTTTGAGACAGTCACCTAGGCTGGAGTGTACTGTGTGCAATCTCAGCCCACTGCAACCTGCATGTCCCGGGTTTGGTTTCAAGTGATTCTCGTGCCTCAGCCTCCTGAGTGGCTGGGATTACAGGCATGTACCACCACTCCTGGCTAATTTTGTATTTTTAGTAGAGACAGGATTTCACTATGTTGGCTAGACTGGTCTGGAACTCCCAGCCTTAAGTGATCTGCCCATCTTGGCCTTCCAAAGTGCTGGGATTACAGGTGTGAGCCACAGCACCCAGCAAGACTAGTGTAATATTCTAATATACAGTCTATACAGATTGAGTATCCCTTAAACAAAATGCTTGGGACTAAAGTGCTTTGGATTTTGGATTTTGGAATATATGTATTATACTTAACTGTTGAGCATCCCAAATAAAAAAAATAAAAAATCCGAAATGGTCCAATGAGCATTTCCTTTGAGTATCATGTTAGTGCTCAGAAAGTTTCAGATTTCTGGATTTGGAATGCTCAACAAAATTTTTCCTTTTTTTTTTGAGATGGAGTTTCACTCTGTCGCCCAGACTGGAATTCAGTGGCATGATCTCGGCTCACTCCACCTCCTGGGTTCAAGCGATTCACCTGCCTCAGCCTCCTGAGTAGCTGGGATTACAGGTGCCCACCACTATGCCCAGCTAATTTTTTGTAGTTTTGGTAGAGACAGGGTTTCACCATGTTGGCCAGGCTGGTCTCAAACTCCCGACCTTAGGTGATCCACCTGCCTCGGCCTCCCAAAGTGTTGGGATTACAGGCATGAGCCACCGAGCTGGTCCACAGATATCTTTCCAAATTGATAAATGTCTTAATACCTAGTCCCCTCCATTCATCACTCATGCACTTGTCACATTTCTTTGTTTTTTTGGGACAAGTTTCATTTTTGTCGCTCAGGCTGGAGAGCAGTGGAACAATCTCAGCTCACTGCAATCTCCACCTCCTGGGTTCAAATGACTCTCCTGCCTTGGCCTCCTGAGTAGCTGGGATTACAGGAACGTGCCACCACACCCAGCTAATTTTTCTATTTTTGGTAGAGATGGGTTTTTACCATGTTGGCCAGGCTGGTCTCGAACCCCTGACCTGGTGATGCACCTGCCTCAGCCTCCCAAAGTGCTGGGATTACAGGCATGAGCCACTGTGCCCAGCCTAAAGTTGAATTTCTTAACAGTTGATTCCTGAAAAAGGTGGTACAGAAACAAAATAACAGAGTAAAGAGATAGTTGGCACTGACTAATAAAACGAAAAGCCTGCTGCTCAACAAAGCCCTATGATATTCCATTTACTTTTATTACAAATAGGACTGTAATTCCACAGCAGTGTTGAAATGCCAAATGAAGAACTGCTAGAAGGTTGTATCCAAAAAATTCTCTAGCACCCAAATCTCAAACTTGTAGTAGTAGACTTACCCCGCAGAAATATGAAGCTTGCATGGAAGCACTACTATGTAGGAGGTGATGTTTCTCATAGACTAACCTGTGTACCGTGCTCTTGGTTATAAACAATAGCACAATATTTCTTCTCTTAAAGTCTTGTAGTCTGGAGAATGCTGTAGTGGACCATCCAGGTAAGAAGATTAATACTCTGACTTTCATGTG